AGATATCCATAAATATCTTGGGCGTTACCTTTTCCAGTGTCCATAATTGAACCGTGTCCACCCCCCCTCCCCCTGCCCAACCCCAATGGAAAAACTAATAGGAAGAGATAACAAAAAGAAAAAGAATGACAAGGAAATGTTAAACACTGTTTGGAAAATCAAGATTGGTCCCCCCCCCCCAAAAAAAAAAGGGAAAAAAAAGGACACTTTGTTATCAACCTTACTCAACAAAAAGGCACAGGTTTGCAACACTTGGACCAGAGAAGGCACTGAATCTCATGCCCTAAGAGTTGACAGAATGAGAAAAAGCTCTGCTTACTTCCAGATAATACTATTAAAAAATCTATATCTCGAACACCACTGTCAAATTATATCCTGCGGAATCCACCACTGGAAGCAGATATATTAACTAGAGGTGGCAAAATGGGCGGGATGGGCGGGATTTGCTTGGGTTTAAAATGGAACCGAGTTATATGGGTTTGGGCCCAACCTTACCCATATGTGTTTTGGAACTAACTTGGGCGGGATCACTTTGGGATGGTTTAGATTGATCCCGCGCCAATACCCAAATCTATTTTCTACATATTTTTTTCCTTTAATTTATTTTTTATATATATTTTTGATTTATTAAATTTCTTTTAGTTTTATTAAATAAACATGCAAGTGCTTTTTATACTCAGGATTATCACCAAAAATTGGATTAACAAATAAAGGAAAAGATAGATATACAATCATGACTATAAAAATTGTTAAAGATAATTTTTTGAATCTAAGACTCCGTTTGGATTGGCTATTTTTTCAAAAAAATAAGTTTTTCAAATACAATTACAGATAATATACAATAACTCAAAAAAACATCCAATCCATATTAGTATATCAAATATTTCAAAAAAATTTTATAGTAAAAATTTTTTCACATACACTACTACAATAAAATATTTCAAAAACACCCCCGCCAAATATAATTAATCCAAACGGAGCCCTTGCTATTTGAGCCCAATGGGTACCCAAGCATTTTCCAAAATTTTCCATCATTATAATGGGGTACAATTGGGATTTGTCCCATTTTAAACCCAAATATCAAATTCTAATACCCATCCCGCCCAAAGTCTCAAATGGACATGGGTAACCCATTGGGACTTGGAGCAAATTGCACCTCTAATATATTAACTTACTAAAATTACAAGGTCTAATACCTCATGAGCTGGAATGCAGAGGCTCAGCCTTTTTGCTTTGAGATCATAAACATAAATGGAATTATTACTACTAGCAGCCACAAGTTCTCTGCCATCTGTTGAGAATTTCACGGAGAAAATTCCAAAAGAATACTCATCATAGTCTGAAGCATCTGAAGAAAATTCCAATCCCTCGTGAATTTCCTGCAAAAAGGAAGCAGCAAGAAGGAACTCATTAGGAAGTGTATCTATTGCATCCCATACGCTTAATTAGGGTCTTCAAGCCTCCAATATCCCAGCAGATGTATGAAGGTAAGAGGCTTTGATAAACAATTAGAGCTTTAGTTGGCTCCACTCCTCACTAGTCTTGTGGAAAAGCCTGATAATCTAACTTTCCAACTAAATAAATGCAGACAAGTTATACCTATGCGACTACAAATAATATTTAAATACCTTAATTTCTAAATTTTGGATCCAGTTGAAAAAGTTTCCTTCTAAGAAATTCAAACTGAAAATTACCATACTTCCCATTCTCTCAAAGGACAGTCCATAAGGTATGAGGTAGATGCACAACTATAGACGAGACAAAAGATATTCCAAATAGATATAAATCATAAGCAACTAAAAGATTCGTGCTCCAAAATAAAGATTTTTTCTTTCCAGTTTGTTTCTGAAATTAATAATAGTAGAATTTCAAAACATACCGTAACATTTGCAAGAGATTCTGTTGCAGCAGATCCAACATCAACAATATGAACTATGGGAGATATACTTGAGTAAGCCTGTCAAATGAACTAAAACCTTATCAGAGAATAGAAAAGAGAATTTGAAGTGGCAGTTTACCAATGATGTTAATTACCAAACGAAATGCCAAACCAACACACAAAAAGGATACATAAGTTGCAAGCCACTAATAAGATCTTTCAAAAATGTCTATTTTTGCTTACTAAATATAAAGCAATGGATGTGTTCTGAAAACAACTTAAATGACTAAAATTACTACACCCAAGAGAAAAATGCGCAATTTGTAGGAAAATTCAGTGTGAGATATAAAGCAACCCTTCCCATTACATAAAGGAAATGACTTTGTGGGATTAACAATATGCCCATATAATTGCAAATATACACTTGTCAAGACAAAAGCATTGAACTTTTCACAGTCCTATTAACAGTTGGTGGCAAAACGTTGGTGCTCCTTACAAAAAATCACTCCTACTTTTCCAAGCCTTTAGTACTTTACTTCCAATCCTGATATCAACGAACTACCCATGCTCAATCTGAATGCAATTCCGAAAACTTACAAGAAAACGACGATCTGGGGATAGGGATGTATCAGTGATTGTCCATCGCAAGCTTCTAGCTCTAATGTCCTTCTGCAGTCTCCATCCCTTGTCAACATTATATATTTTAATCTGACTTTCCTGTTCAGGAAAAGAAAAAATCCCATTAGCCAAATCAATGAATACCAATAAGGAAAAGGCCCTTTCTAAATCTTCCTCGACCAATCAACTTTCAACAGAACAAATGTCATCAATACCTGAAATGCAGCAACAAACAGAGAACCATCTTCTGAAAATTGTGAAACATATGCACCACTTGGCATTCGATCAACCACTGAAGGACCATAAATAGGCATATACCGACTCAAAACATGACAACAGTCTCCTGATGAGAATCTCCCTCTCCCAGAATAATTCCCTTCCCTTCCCACCAACATTTGCACAGGTGAAACGGGCAACCTTGCCTTACCCGGTACCACTTTTCTGAAACGTTCATGCGCAGTTGACGTATATTTTGTGAGTAGCGCTATCTCATGATTAAGATAACTATTTTCTTCACTGATCCTCTGACTACCAGATGATCCCTCAGCTCCATTTCCTCTATCACAACCATCCAAACGCTTTCTAGTCCAAGTCATTTTCTAAACAACCTTTGCCTCCCTTCTTTTAGTATGCAGGCTCTAACAATTAGCTGCTTCCTATACCTATTTCACCCTCCTTTCCAAAATTAAGCTCAATAAACCTTAAAGGGCCTTCAAATTTCACCTTATTAATCCTGCCAAGCAAGAACAAAACAAAAACAAAAAGCCACCCAGAAATCCAGGCGCACACGCACACGCACAAAATTTAGTATACAAACAAGAATGTGATAAGCATGTAAGCAAAAGTCGGTAGAAAATTACTAAACATTAAAAGGGCAAAACTTTGAATAGTCCAAGAGCTTAACAATGTCAGCGGCTATCTATCATTAGGTACTTAATAGAAGAAAAGGCAACTTTACTATAAACTGGCGTAAGAAATTCCAAAACCATCATTTTATACAAACGAAATAGTATGTACGTAAGCAGCGACGTAAGAGTAGAAATCCCTTTAATCCCATGACGATAAATTAACCAATTTCAATCCAAGAAAAGTGGGAAAAAAATGAACTTTGTGGAATCAAGATGAAGATTGAGAGTGAGATTACCTTGAGAGAAGAGGGTCAGACCAAAAATGGCAAATTTCTTTGGTTTGGGATTGATAAATAATAAATGTAGGGAGATTACGATGATGATGACGGACATGAATAGTCAAAGGACTGTTTGAGTTCACTCTTCTTCACACCTGGAACTGGAATTAAAAAGTTAGGGGAGTCGAGTGTAGCTCGCGCGCGAGAGTTAGCAGTTGAGTTGTAAAATGCCTTGAAAGTGTCGAATTCGAATTAATTGAATGTGAGTCGAATTCGAGTTTCAGATACAATGCTCAAAGCTCGTCGAAATCTTATCGAGTTTTTTAATTTTAATTCTTTAATATATTATTATTACTACGAAATTCTTATATCAAAAAAAATGGTTGAATTTATGAAATGTTTCAAGTCGTATAAAATTTTTAAAGGACAATAATATTTTTTTGCTCAAAAATTGTCAAGGAAAATAAATATTTCTGACTCGAACTTGAGAAGGCTCGAGTTCTATGAGCAATCATTGAGTTCAACCTCGAGTTTCAATAATACTATTTGCTCTAGTTCAAGTATCCTTTTTCGAGTTTGACTTGACTCGGTTACAACTCTCGTCGCGAGGCATCGTGCTAAATTTCTTGAAAAGAAGCCTCCATTTTACTAATGATTTTCAACTTCGCGCTAAATAGTTTTTCCAATTTCTAACTTTGACCATTTTCTAGGCCGAGATTTTACGTTTTTACCCTCTGTCGTCTGAATTACATTACTCACCATGTGTTTATTATTTTACGATTTGGCCTCAATTATTTACAAAATAGATAAATAGACCCATAATAGTTTCATGTCTGCACAATTGTACATATGTATATTTTTTGGGAATGACCTCACTAAAGATACCTATACTCTAGAGGAAAAAAAATTATATTTTCCAAAATCTTGGGAGTGTAGTTGCCCTTGTCCAATACTTAAATTGTTGGCAACGTTAAGGATGTAAAAATTGTTTATGTCATCTATGTTTTCACATTTGAGACATGTAAATCACCTAAAAAAGTAAACTTTCTTGTTAGAAAATTTAAGTATGGTATTTTTTCAAGGCCCTCAATATCACAGATGTTAATTTTCAATAAAGATATTATATGTTTCCTATTTCACTATTTAGGCAGAATACTTTCGACAAAATGTCCAAGGGTGGATTTCAATTTGAACCCCAAACTATTTAGGCAGAAATACCTCATATGCTCCTTATTCTGAATTGCTGACCCAATTCTGACCGGAAATCTTTATTTATTTTTTAAAAAAAATAATATCCGCGCGCCCCTATGTGATATCTGCACATTGCTGCCCATCCCCAGTTTCATTGTATCTGAAGTCAACTACAGAGAGCGAGCATAAAAGAATTCTGAAATGTGTGAGCATATAACATTTTTCCTTTTTTTCCTTTTTCTGTGCTTTGAATTTTTCGATTGTTCTCAAAATCAGCCCACTCGTCGATAACTCAAGACTGGGCTGGACTAGTGCTGGCTCCCTGAGAAAAATTCAGAACTGAGCTGCCCATTCAAGATTCTCCATCCCACATGCTGAATTATTCATGGGATGATGAGATCATGAGAAAGACCACCCGTGTAGCGCATGATGAATCCTTGTTCGGTTGATGGCTTAATGCCTTGCTGAAGAGTGAGTGGAACTAATTTGAGAGAAAGAAAAAAAAAATTCATCGATTCTGCATAACTGCAACGACATTTCGAGTTACATGAAAAACTCTTTATCTATCCTACCGTGCCATCCTGCTATTGTGTTCTGTCGAAATCTCAGAATGCTGGAACACTTCCTGCAAATTCCAGTAACATGGTTGTTCACCATTATTGCCAGGAGCTGAAATATGCATTTGTCAAGAAGGAGATTTCGGCCAGCTTTGTTGCATGATGTAAATTTTGCTTCGACTTTTGCTCACTATAAAATCTGATCATATGTGATGATAAATTTTGCTGAAATCTCACTCAGATGTCTGAACCCTCATCAAGTAATACAATGATCTACCAATTCTATCCGTTAATGGAGGCCTGAACCTCCTCCAGTGTTTTACCCTTGGTTTCTGGCACTAATCTTGCCACAAACAGTACAGTAAGAACACAGAATCCAGCATAGATGAAGAATGTCCCTGTGAATGAGCGTCCAAAAAGATGTAGGGTCAGTCAAAGAGCAATGCATACAGGGGAATCCATCCAACTGTTATATGCTGGAAAGTAGCATTCATTCCAGGAAAATTTTGTCTACCTGTGGAACTCCAGCTCATGAGAAAGTTGAAAGTGAAGGAAACTGCCCAAGCACCTATCCAGTTCACCAGCACCACCAGGCTTCCAGCAGCACCCTTCACGTTTATCGGGAAAATCTGCAAGAGGAAATGTCATGTTTCTGGATGGGAGTTGAATTACTCTGGGATGCAATTTTTTTGAGTTTAATCTAACTGGGTTACCTCTGACATTATCACCCATGGGACAGCTCCCATTCCAATTGAGAACGCTGCTATGTAAATCTGATTAATGGGAGGAAAATATGGCACTTCATTAATGATAGGTTCACAAGAAAATCCTGCAACTACAATAGTTGAGAATGTACCAGTACTCCAGAGACAGCAAGCAATGGCACCCATTCAAGCAATAAATTCTGGCCCTGATCCAGTAAAGGAAGAATGCAGTAAAAAATCTTGAATTAAACATGAACTCGAAACTAGAAGTGATCTTACATTCCCCTTAAAACTTACCTTGAGATAGAAAGAAGCACCAGTCAAGAAGCAGCCAATGAATGTGCCTGATGCTGACACCTGATAATGCAAGACTATCGTTACTAAATTTCTGTACTAAATATGCTGCCAAACCAAGGAGATGCAGTGGAGAACAGGCACTCACCATTAGAAGCGGTCTTCTTCCAGATTTGTCCATCAACAAGGCTCCAACAACGGTTAGGAGTACCTACAACATAAAATTAGCCAGTTTAGATACTGAGATTTCGCGCATTTTGGATTTTCAATGATTCCTGATATACACCATTTATCAACACACCTGGACTATGGCATAGGCCACTGTTCCTGTCTTACCCGAAGAAAGCCCTGCAGTTTTGGACATGGATGATTATTAATGACCAACTTCAGAATCATCACTTTAGGTAGATAATAACACACTCAAAATTCTAAATTACCAGCTTCTGCAAAGGTTTCGCTAGCATAGAAACTTATTCCATTTATTCCAATGAACTGTTGGAATACCATTAGTCCCACACCAATCTGAACAAAAGAAATTTTAGGAACAGTTAGCTTAAATAGACAGATATTAAAATGCATGACTGAAAACTTAAATCAGATTGAAGAAGTTTCTTACCATTACAGAACGTATGTATTTTCTGTCGAACAAATCCAGCATTCGAGATTTTGGAAGGCTTCGAAGAGTAACATTATAAGCCTGCCAGTGAAAGAGTAAGATTATTAGGCTACCATTAAATTTATACTCACTCATACCATAAAAACAAATTCAAATCTGTGAATATATGCAGAGAGGTATATACTTCAATTTCTGCAGCTTCGCGAGTAATGTCAGCATCTTTGCCACGAAGCCTCCTCAAGGCAACCAGAAAATCTTTCTCTCGACCAACATTTGCCTGCAAGTGCAATATCTCATTCAATAAACCTATTTCTGATGTTAAAATGCAGTAGAATAAATGTTTATTTCATGGAATCTTACCAGCCATCTAGGTGACTCAGGGGTGAAGAATAGGCCCACAAACAGGACAATGCATGGAAGAATACCTTCAAGTAAATAAAATCAATAATCAAATTTTTTCTTCCATGATTCATCTAACTTCGTTGTGAAAAATCCTAATTATTTACTTCCAAAAACATATAGTAATTGTTTCAAACTTACCGGTCAGGGCTAGAGTTTGCCATGATACGACGGTTCCTAGCAAGTATGCAACTGATGAACCGGAAACAATCATGAGCTGCAGAACAAACGAGGGAAGGTGGGATTTTATGTCAATGAACACCTGCTCTTCATGAATAATTCAGCAAGAGAAATAGCAAACGAGATTTTATGCTTCTCCAACCTGATTTATGGTTGCTAGACCTCCTCGAAGATTCTTTGGAGCTATTTCAGCTATAAACACGGGGACCTATTCAATATGTAAGACAAGGTAGAAACAGCAGGCGCCAAAATGATCCGAATTTAATGAACTTATCTATGAAATATGTAAGTAAATTTCTTTTCACTGCTGATTTACAAGATCAAATAAGCACTTACTGCATAAGAAAATATTCCAATCCCATATCCCGTGCAGAACCTTCCAAAATCCAGGATCAAAGCACCCTGTATCATACCAGAGAATAATTTTACATACTTATTCTTCCATACCGTACTATGTGGTCCTTGCAGTTGAACACTGTATTCTAATTGAAGACAGAAGAGTAAATAAGACGCGTACCGTAGAAAAATAGACTGCAAGCCATCCAATGACACAGAAGACAGCTGATATTCTCATTGCCTAATCAACAAGCACATGAAAAAATTATACTTATGAGGCTGATAAAGAAAATTGCAAGAACAAAGGGACAATACAACTTGCTTTTTCTGATTCCTCCAGAGTCACAAAATCTCACTTATTAACCCTTACAAAATTTTCAATTTGTTATCAAAAGAAGCAATAAAATAGCATACAACTGCACATACCCCTTTCCGGCCAACGAAGTCTGCAATTCTGCCGCTTGTGATTCCTCCGATCATAGCGCCAATTGTTAATATAGAACCAAACATAGAGAACTGCAACAAAAGTAGCAAATAATTGAGCTCCATTCAACTGAAACTGAGACCACTTTTCCTCTATCGAACAGAATTTATGTAAAAGAATGACATACCTCTGCTAGAGATAGATTCAAATCTTCCCTGATAGCAGATTGAGTAGGTGCTGAGTATCCCACCTGCAAAAGAATTAGCTTAAGCTAAATAACCTATTTTTGTTCCCTTTTTTTTTTAACTGATTTTTTTGGTAGTCCTGATCAAGACGACGCAACAAGAAGAAACGAAACATGTTAATACGGATTCCTTTTGAGATTCAAGAAACTGTTTTCAGCAGCAAGAAACGAAAAACACCTAGAAAATAATACTTACACACGATCCGAACTCGAAGGAACCGCAGACAGCTACGCATGTGCTCAACAGCACCATGGCAATTGAACCATTTTCTTTATCTGCCTCTGGTGAACTGTCTTCAGAAACGACCATTTTTCCATTCTGAATAAAGGGCTTCTCCAAATCCTCCAGAATATTGTTATGACTAATACCATTTTCAATATCCTTAAATTGATCAGTAGCCATATCTACAAAAATCTCAATGCAGCAGCTAATACTACAGCTTCTAGAAAGAAAAGCTAACTAGTCTATGTGGAGACGAGAAAGTGGCAAGGGGTGCATGAGACTGAGGTTTCTTGAGGCCTCTATATAGTACATAGATAACATGCAAGCCTGAGGTTCCTGGCTAGATAATTACGGTATTAATGGTCTCATGAATCAATGGTGAGTAAAAAATCTAGTGGTCATTGTTGTCCACTTTGACCCTCTGATCTATTTTTTGTCTCCAACTAGCCCTTGAGCATTTCAAAATGTATAGTTTAAGGGCTTCTTGCCCTTTTAGACAAAAATCCAGACGAAATTAAGGGCCAATTTTGCTCAACAATAATCAAAAGCATCGAAAACTTAATCAAAAGCATCGATAGCAGGAGTAGAAGTTTTGAAAAAAGAAAACTCCTCATTTTCTTTACACTCTTCATCAAATTTCTCTATAAAATTTCTAAATTCATTGATTTCATATCCGAGTGCCCAAGTTTCATCAGATTTTTCATGTCCCTCTTGATGAAAAGTTCAAGGAAAATGAAGGCTACTTTTTGTTAAGTTCTCAATGCTTTTGATTATGGTCGGATAAAAATGCCCTTGGATTCCGAAGGTTTAACATGGCCTAAAGTCCTTAAACTACACATTTTAATTGTTTAGGAGTCAATCTTTAATTGTTTAGGATAAAAAATAGATCAAGAGCCAAAATGGACAACAATGACATGTCAGGAACTTCCCAGATTGTTTACTCATCAATCAATGATTGGATGTTCATTAAAAAAAAAAAAAAGCATAAGATATTTGAAAAATCTGTAAGAAGCCGGGATTGGAAAAGCTGTCACTGACGTGTGATCTTGTCAGACCAACTTGACCTGTTGACTGAGGCGGGCGTGCCATTTTAGCCATGCACTGGCATATGGATTCTGCAACCTTGTTGTTTTCTTCTGATTTGGAGTTAGGAATATCGGAGTGGGATGGGACTGGAGATATTGTCGTTTTGCTCGTGAAATCAGACTGTCCTAAAAGAGTAAATTCGTCCGACTCCCTCGATCCTTCAAACTATATTGTAATTATGTAACCTCCCCAGATACTTTCTTTTAAGTTATATCAATATCATTATCAAAAAAAAAAAAAAGTTATATAAATATCTACTTAAAAGTCTTTTTTTTTTTCTTTTGAACAAAGTCTATTATAGAGGTTTATATTATTGTATACAAAAATCCTTTCGGCCTCCCAAATTTTTTTTAATCGATGCTAAGGGACAGAAAAGTTACAAGTAAGGATTGAACAAATTTATTAACAAAGGAAAAAAATATATATATAGTAAGAGGCTCAGTGCAAATGTTTTTATGATTACAAAAAAAGGGTTTTTCCACATGCAAAGTTTAATTCCTTTAAAAAGCTCCAAATACAATCTGCCGGAATCGCAAAGGTAAAAAATAAATTAGTGAAATTGAATTTGACAAAATTCAATATTTCAAAGTGTGGTTTCAGCACCCCATTTACTCATTCAATTTAGAATAGGCCCTTTAAACATATGATATGATAAATTACAAAGTCGGGAAGGGTTAAATTGCCTGGTAAAGTGGGAGGAATTGTAAAATCAAAAAATTACAAGTGCTAAACAGGAAACAAATGATCAAGATTTAAGAAGTAGAAGACATTGGATTCTTTTTTTGAGGACCATTTGATCAATTCATTTCTATTAGGAAAATGGGCTGGCTTAGAAAATAGTGGAAATAGTAGTATATTCCTTATTGTCTATTTTATTAGAGAAAATCCTTGGATTACTCAGATCCGACTTGGCGGTCAATGATTTGCTTACTATTCAACGTTAAGATGATCGGTGCCACAGAATCCTTTTGTCTTCGTGTGAGGCTGTTGTACAGGTCTCACCTCACTAGTTTGGTCACATCTCATATCTCATTATGAATATTAAGCATTGTTGTACTTGCAAGTGGTTACACCAAATCAATTGTTTGTCGAAGACAAAAAAAAAAAGAAAAAAGAAAAAAGAAGAAGATAAACTAGAACCAAACAAGTGGACCAACTTGCCACAAGAAAATAAACATCATCATCCCTTTGGAATGAACACTAAGGCCCTGTTTGCACTTGAGTTTTTTGTCAAGTTTATCTGCTACAAGCTTTTTAAAAACTTTAGCTGCAGTAATCTCAAAAAATTCAAAAAATTTTTTTAAAAACTTCTACAATAAGTTACAGCAAAGTTTTAAACAAACACCCAAAAAACTCGCTTGCCGAACGGGGTCTAAGTTATACAGAATTTGGCAAGCATGCCATAATTTTACAGCACATCAATGCCAAAATCAAGGTTTTTATATTTTATATGAACACATTTTTCGATTATCATTTTAAATTATATACGTTAAATCACTATAATAATAGTTTTTCTTTTTTACAAATACTCCAGAAAATAGCAACTCAAACGGGCTTATTTCTTGATTTCCTGCATCCACCTAACTACTCTTTTTATGCCTATCCGACGACCACCGGTGCAGTGAACAGTTTATTTAACTAATGGTTCATTGTCTTGATGCTCAAGAACTTGGAGTTCAGACTTACAAATGAATGCCCAGTAGTTTCATAATTTAAATTAAATATGGATATAAGGACGGCAATATCAAAAAAAAAAAAATTCAGATGAAATTGTTAAAAATTAAGTCAAGGGGGTCCAAAGTTGCCATTTTAAATCAAGACAAGAAATAAACCAAATTCCAGAGTTGGCTGGCCCCCCAATAGTGGCCAAATCCAGCCCCTGAAAGCATGGACCAACTTTTCAATTCTGGGTGGGAATAACAAGAACCACCTTTTTTTTTTTTTTTTTTCTTTTTGTGTATGCTCAATGTTCATCACATTTGGCCAAAAGACATTTGACTTTGGGGGCATATAAGGGACCAGCATATTGTTTGATTAGACTGATCTTTCAAAGATGACATAACTGATAGGATAACACCCCCCACTCATTCTCAGGAGGTCCAGGGGGTCTTTACTTCTTAACAGCGGGACACCCTGTAGATTTTTTTTATCTCACATCGGAATTGGGGGGTTGGGTTAATGGGTAGATAAGTCCCCTGAACACGCCTTTAAAAGTTGCTGACTTTTAAAGGTTGTTCGAAAAATTAGGTTTATTTATTTCAAAAAGTCTGAGTTTCCTCAACTTTGGCAAAAGAAAAGAAAGATAGGATAACACCACCCTCCCATTTCCGCTCTAGCTAGTTTTCTGAACTTTCTGTAACAACTTTGCATGGACTTTGGTGTCACCAAATCATTTGCGAGGAGATGCAGGAAGTAATCATAATACGGACGTCAATCTTTCTTTACTGCACCATCTTTTGTTTTTTGCACAAATTAAATGCCAAGTTGTCTTCCAATTGTTGGTGTATTAAATTAGTGAACTTAACAGTACATGCATTCTTAAGATTCGATGGGCGTATCGATTGCTTGAGCTTTGAATCCATGACATCATTCAGAACAGATAGATGACTTGAATTGACAATCATGTTACTTTTTGGCGACATTAGAGTTTAGACAAGGACACAAAGCCAAGTTTAGCTAAAGTCTGTCTGTTGGGAACAAATTCATGTGTTTTCTTGCTCATATGTTGACACTGTCGAACCACCAACAACAACAACAATAATAATGACAATAAAGAAATACAGTAAAATTTCGCGGTTGGAAATATTTTGGATAGTAAATTATTTGAGATAATTTTTTTTAAAGAAAAAAGATTACAGTAACGCTTTCTTAATGTAATATCTGTAAAATAAAAAGACAATTAAAAATATATTTGTGATGTAAATAAATAAATTTGTGCAAATAATCGACTATCCAAACGCACACGGACCACTCAAGCTTGCGTCTAGTTTTTTCAGTAGTTGCAATCTTTCTTTTTATGTACATAAAGCGATGCGCGGAAAAAATAGTTTTGAACGATTTTCCCAAAAAATTTTGGACCGAACATTTTGGCCAGCTGAATCCCAGCCGCAAATACGAAGGAGAGGAGAAAATATGTTCGGGCATTAGTAGTCAAAGTTCAGAAGCACATGAATGAACTCGTTCAAACTTCTGTGCTGAATTTTTTTTTTTTTCCCTTTTCTTTCTTTTTAAGGCCTCTATAATTACTAGCATGATCATTATCATTAGTTTTTTTTAGGCAGTTTGGTTCCTTTCATAAGAGCTATCAAGTTCTTAAAGCAGAAGAAATCCTGGATCCTGTGCCAGTCAAATTTAACAGCAAAACATTCATATGAAACTGCATAAATTCAAATCTTTAAAAGGGAAGATGAGAATTTGTCCGCAAATTGATGAACTGTCTTATCAGAGAAACTTGGGACAGCCAAGTATTCGAATTTCAGGGATATATTCCCCATAATCAATACAGAACATAAATAAATAAATAAATAAATAATGAAGCTACTCACAGTTCCAAGTCAAGAACACACCTACTATTAAGTGACACTTGAAATTATTTTGATGCCATGAACCGAGTAGCTAGGATAGGATCGTAAAAACATATAACATTTCTATTCTACCAAAACTTGATACAGAAAAAAAGAGAAATCTACAATTGGTACAACGTTTAAGAACAAAATACAGGAGCAACATCGATACGCCAGGCTGTCTTTTCAATCAAGGGAAAAACAATATAATCCTTCCAACAATTGAAACCATGTACCGTCGGTTTTTGTATGCCATGCTGAGTACCATTTCAACTTGTTGGGTGCCTCCAAAACCATACAAATGCTGCATATTCCACAGCCAGCTCAACTTCGAGCATCAAGGCAAGAACATAACATTCACCACCTTGTGATTAATCACCTTAATCCCTAAATCTTTACTGTACATTGCGGTATCATTCCATCTACATTCCGGTACACCTGCTCTGGATTGGAGCAACTTACAACACTACGAATTCTGTTGCAAACACTTGCGAATCGTCGTGGCTACTTCACCAACCGTCTCAGGGTGGAAGAGGACGGCGCAGAGTCCAATACACACAGTAGCAGCAGTTACTGCAAAAATGAGAGGCCGAGAGGAAAAACCCGTTTTAATCAACAAAGGACTGCAAGATTTTCCCGGTCGTTCACTAACGTTTACTCTCATGACCACCTCTCCGGTCAGAAGAGGGACCGTTGTTCCTCCCTCGTGAGAAGAAGATATGTCCACTCTAGCAGTTAACTTTGCCTTACTTGTTACCTCCTCACCCTGCAATTTCAAAGTCAATGTCTCGTTCAGAAAAAGGAAAACATGTTTAATCAGCATAGAAAAGGATACCAGTGAACAGGCTCCAGCTGCTTTAGGGTCTAGACAGGAATCTGTACCCAGAAGGGAAAAAAACATGAAAAATAACAAAAAGAAAAGGAATAAAGAAGTTCCACCAGTCTTGGTGCAAAACTCAAAATTTGGATGTTTGGAAAAAAGAGTCCAGCTTTCAAAATGTCGACTCCAGTGTACTCCAAGACATCAAAAAGTTCATGAAAAATTAACAGGGCAACATCCAATTATAAGCAGATAGTCGTAACCTTCAAATTTGATGACACAGTAATCAATCGCCTAAATGATCATAAATGACCCACAACCATTTAGGGGCAGCGGAAAAAGCCTTCACCTGGCTGTTTGATGTTGCAACAGATGACATATGATCCAGGGAGCTTCGATTGAAAGACCTTTCCCCTAGCAAAAACTTTCTTGAATTATTTAATTGATGTTCATTTCGTCGCAATTTCTGATAAAGTATGTCTCTTGCCTTGTCCAAATTCATCCACAAGTGCTCCATATCAGCATCAGTGATGTTGGTTGCAACAAAATTCTTGTCGATCAAAACTCTCGTATAATACACCACTCTGTCCAGTATGGCAGTAGACTCATTTTCTATTAGAAAATTCAAAAGATTAGTAAACCTTTTGATCTGCACAGATGTGAGAAATTGCGTAGATGATTTCATGACAGGCTTCTTCAGTGACCATGCTACATCCATAATAAATTCTGAAAATTCTGTTTGTCTCAAGTCAGAAACTCCACATGAACTAGTAGCTGAAAGCTGTAGTCCTTTAATACATGGTTTAGCAGCAAATCTTTGCTGCATTATATTCATTTCTGCACAAATTTCTTTGTCGCCGATAAGGACAGGAATAAAATTCGAAAGGCCAAATTCATTCTCAACCTACAAAGACAAGTTTCAAGGACCTAAATCTCAGTTCAGAAAACCTCTTGCATTTCCAAAATAAGTAGTCCTAGTATAGCCACAATAATGGGCATATAATCAGAAGTAGAATTTATATCTTTTCTCAAAGTATTCTTAATAAGAAAGTCATGATCAGAAAACTATAGATACATATTAAGACATACAATTAAAAGGTGTCCAGTCATTTAAAAAGAGGATTTACAGGAAGTTCTACCTCAACAAATGCAGGGCCAAAGATTCCAGGTTCCGTTTGAGGAACAGATATCTTGAATGAATGATGGTTTAGGCTACCAGCATCCCCTTCAGTCTTACCGCATGATGATGAAACACAAAGATCATGGGCTAGATATTTTCCCATGAAAGATACAAGGAACCTGCATGGACAACACACATTATATTCATATAATCTCCAAAAAGAACCAAAGCAAGCATGGTCCGACCAACAGTTATACCATCGCTTTGCTGACATTCTACATTCATAGGCAATTACATAGTCACTTTGAAACAGCATATTAAAAGTACTTTAGTGAAGATGCAGCTTTTTGGCTTCAATAAAACCACTAAATAAATGAATCCTTCTGTTCTCTCACATGCTTCAATCATACTTGTTCTTAAAAGGAACCTTGTATTTTCTCAAACCCCTAGCACATGTATTATCCTTGAAACTACAAACATCAAAATACATAAACTTACATCACACAAACCGGCCGAGGCAAAACTAGAAGCAGTTATCTTTGCACCTTATAATTTGGCCTTAGCATAATTATATGAGTGATTGTCCAAGATGAGTGCAGAGAAACAGTTTTACTACTATCTCTTTAAGTAAAGCTGCAGTGACATACCGAAGTTTAGACGGAAGAAGGTTACTTCCACAGGCAACAAACTCCATTGGCTTTCCAGCCTCAAAGCATGTATGATGAACATGATGGAGCTTTGGAGCCTGTTCATTAACCTTAACTTTGAAGAGAGAACTTCCACCTGTTTCAATACACAATTAAATGAACAATTACTGCAAATTCAAGGATTTTATAGCTTGATGATGTCCTGGTTTAAAGAACCATATCCTTGCCAAAGAACTACAATATGTATAGTTCAGGTTTTAGGAGTCAGACTCCTAGGGTTGCTTCTATAAGTACAATAGCAATAAACCCTGATATTAAAGGATACTGGTCTACCATTCTAAAATAGGAAATCGCAGCAACATAACAAAGGTCATCCTGATTAAGAATAGTAACCTAACCTTGATTTTCAGATTATAGTTCCACATACAACAACTTCCGGCTTTGATTATTTCCTAATTGAGCCTTTTTTTTTTTGACAGGGTTCTGAAAACAGATGATATTTTTTATGACAGAACCAAGAATCCCTTAACATCTTTGTCCATGTTATATGATGAAGGATTATATCAAAGCAATTTGAAATTTGTGCAAATGCAAATTTAAGAAAAAAGTTCCACGTGAAGTAAATATCTATTACATTTAAAAAATGTGTGACCTAAAAATTTCATGTGGTTCAAAGTTCTATGCCACAGAGACAACTGATAGCAGTACCCCTGAGTCAGCCAATAATTACTCCATGGTCTTCTGAAAGATAGTAGCCATGATCATAACCATCAAAAGGCAAAATAGTAGTTAATCCTTGGATACCTTACAAGCAGTACTGCAAGGGAAATGAGTACATGGCAAGTAAAATATGATGGTCCATCGCAAATGATATCTAAACTGACAAGTTACCTTTTATCACACGGAATATCATGTTGTTAAGATAAATATAAAAAGTGTCCCGGCCAGATAGCATGCTTCCAGGAGAGAGAACCAAGTTGTGCAAGCACTCAGCTGGCTTCTCGGATAACTGCTCAATGCAATTAAATGCAGGAGTTAGATTAAGGAAAAGTCCTATCAATTAGACATTTGAATCCACAACCCGGATAAAAAAGCATGGCCATAACTCAGTGATTTTTTTAATTATTTATTTTTTATAGCACGGCAGGGTGGGATTTAAAAAGGAGGGAAGGGGAAGGGTGGATTTGAACCCAGGACATCAAATTCCTGAGGCCATAACCCTGCGATGTTAAATGCAGAGCATTCACAGGAGTTAACGAGTGAATTATCAATGCACAATGTGATCTATCATAAAAAAAGAGGTTCAGATAAAAAAGGCAATTAATCTTTCAGTAAAGTTAGTGTGCTATTGATTTTCAAACTTTGTTGATGTTAAATAACGACAAAGACAATAGGGCGAAACTTCATATACATTACCTTAACCCACATAAACTTGGGCATTGCAATGAACACTGTCAATATTGTACAGCCAGGGCGGATGTATCCCTCCAATTCAACAGGCATGCTAGCTAACCATTGAAATATCTGCAAGGAACATTCAGCCCTTAGTCAAGTAAATTGTAACATACTTTTGCAGAAATATGCATCATCCTCGCACTTATATACTAAACTGTAATAATAATCCTTTAATACTTGGTGCCGGAGTCGTCGAGGAAATTCTGCAGGATTCCAATCATAAAGCTTGAAAGAGATGCGACCAGTAGGACACTACAACAAACACAAGATCAGGAAACACTAACTCAGTAAGCTCGCAAGAAGAATTTGGAGGTACATGACGTTAAGCAACAAAGTTGACGAAAACCAACCACAGAAGAAAATGCATTTTTGTTGTCACAGAAAGACGGGGAGCGACTGTATTTAGGATTTTCTTTCTCTCCGTAGATCTGAGTGTCACCATAAGATCCAGAAGTTACAATGCTATTGTTCTGAATATTCTGTGAATCATGAGCTGAGCAGAGTGTTGACTGTTGCCCTTCAGATTCCAACAATGTTTCCTTCTCTGCATTTTCACTACTCAAGCAAATGCCATCTGTGTCATGCAAAATTCATTTAGGCCATGAAAAAACTAAACAGCTATGTTGCATGATGCAAGCATAGGAAGAATTGAAAGAGGGACATCGCAAGTTAGAAAAAATCAAGTGCTTTTCTGTATTTATTTGTCAGTGTTGAATCGGTGTTGTTGCCATTGACCAGTCTATAACAGGACAAGCCACAAGATTAGCACCACAAATGGCATATTTAAAATGCAGAAACACAGCAGGGGTTTTCATGCTTCTAACAAGTGGGTTCAAAACTATAATACCTTTTCCTGCATCATCATCACCGCTAACATCTTCGGCCACAGTGGTCTGCTGATGTTCCGTTTCAACAGTGCCTTTAGGATCATTGGGTTTCCTTCGTCGTCTATTATTGTGACGCTCTAATTTCCTTCTACAGCTACGCTTGCCCTCATCAAAATCAGATAAAATATGAAACCTTCAAAACAAATTCCATTGTTAACTGATGACTCGAGTCAATTGGAAGACAAAAAACATGAAATCTAGTTAGTTTTAAAATTCCAAAAAGTCTAAGTCTGGTTGTCTCTAGCTCAAAATAAAAGAAAAAAAAGGAGGGAAACTGGACAATTCATAGATATAAAGTTAACATGCACAGATTAAACAAATAACAATCTGAAAATGATGGCTGAAGTAATATGCGCTCTTAACTAAGCAGAGACTAGAAAACTTATGTACGCAGAGCACAAAAGCATAATAACAAGATGAGTTCTCAATGTTCATGGAAATTTAGATATAAAAAAAAATAATAATTAACCGTATTGAACGAAAATTGATCAGATAATATCCCAAGGAGTAAGAACAAAGTCGATTTTAGCCATGGAATCCACAACTAATCAGGAGAGCAATGTATCTGAAAAAGTGGGGAAAATGGTTAATATTTGAAGTCATCTGACAAAAACAGTTTCAAATGTCTGCGTTGTTTTAAAAACTGGAGCTGCAGTATGGAGCTGTAATTCTAGATGCACTCTACGTCAGTTTACTGAGGACTCCTTTGGCATGACTACATCTCAAACTGAACCCTTAATAATAGGAGCATCGCAAGGTGCTTTTCAAAATCATCTTTTTCTTCCTCTTAAACAGACCAAATCACTAGTTGAAAAAAAAAAAGCAAAAAACAAAAGCTTAAAATAACTAACAACTTTAGCAAAGTCATAATCAGCTTATTTTAAACAAATGAAAATAAACCCTGAGTATCACCACCAATTTTCTATTGCCTTTTCTCGTAGTAATAACTTTTCATCCCCTCCCCCCACCCCAACCGCCTCTGGGTTTGTATTGCCAATTACTATCTCAATCATTTCTTTCACCCCATCTGGCATATTATCACTACTAAGCCACTAACTCCCAGCTTATTATGAAAGTCCCTATCCTTGTTTAAATGTCTAAGGAGAAGCTTAAATTTGAACTGCATAACTTTGTCATCAGTAATAAATGTCTCGTCAACTACATTCATTTACTTTGGATCCTATTTCAGCTAAGATCAATTAAGGTCATTAGGTCCTCATTCCATGTGTCTTGTAGTAGGTGCAACCAAACATGAATGCAATTTTCACCTATTACCTAAATACTTATAATGGTGCAACAGTAGAAGGAAATGCTCATTCAGGAATGAGGAGAACACCTTACAACACCAACATCAATAATCCATGGTGCCAACTGCCAATATTTACGACTCAAGTCCAGTAAAATTTAGTTTCCCCGGTTATCACATAAAAGCGAAATTCAGCAAACTCCTCCATAAAGTGTACCATAAATGATTAATCCTCAAATGATCCCACTAGTCATGGTCACCGTCAACTCCACCTCCATACTAAAACTTCATTTTCATACTAATTGCTAGTCCATGCATCCCCTCCATCTCAAATTTCCCATTTCGCGTATTTCTTTCCACGACTTCTCAAAAAAAAAAACCAAAAAAAATAAAAATTGATGAACCTAATGTGATCCCATATAGATGCCATTTTTCAGCATATTCCCAGGCATTTAATGAACATATGAACGTAACAAATTATGCGTTCCGCTAAAATCTTCACTCCCATCACCAAAAAATTGCATCTTTGAGCAGCAAATAACTATTATAATAAGCCAGACAGCAGGCAGGAATTTAAGCTAAACTTACTTGCCACACTGTTGACAATATCTCTTACTCTGCCCATCAAGAACTACAGCACCAGCATTGGCGCACTGCAAACAAACCCGGTGCCGCTTATGATATCCTTTAAGTTCACTGATATCAGCTCCACACCCCGGCACTTGGCAGCGGGCATTAGACCCTGCCCGAACCCTGACGGTCCGGGGTCTCTTTTTGCCCGGCCCGCCAAGGGCCGTCACCTCTTCCAGCTCCAACTTCTCATCTAACTCCGGGCAAGCACAGGGAACCCGACCCGCCAAGAAATTCGTGCAAACCAGCCTCGGGTCCCTCTTCCTAACCCGCCCCGGATCCTCCGCCGGAGGTGAAACTTGATCCGAATCCGAGGGCGAGACGGGTCCCTCCTGCTGTTGTTGATCGGCGGCAAAAGGAGCAGACGCAAAAGGCTCGACGTCGATGTTGAAGTCCAGAAAATCGGACCAATCGAAAAGGGAGGAGTTGGTGGGGTCCTCAAGAAATGCCGAGATCATGGAGGCGTTAGACATGTCCAGGGGTTTAGGATGGGTTTGATGGCGGGATGGCGAAATTGGTGCAATTGATGGTGAACTTGAATTGTCCATCAGGCGTTTGATGAAAAGCCGCCAAGATTGTTGGAAGGAAAAATTAGCGGAGAGGGGAATCCAGAGGAGCAGAAACGAGTGGTTGGCGGTGGGGTTGAGGGCAGAAGGGGTTGGTTGGGTGGTGAAAATCGAAAATTGGGCAGGTCAGCTGTAACAGTCAGCTGCTGGGGGTGGTGGAGTTAGGTGGTGACACGAAGACGCTGGGAATCTTCAAGGGAGGGATTGACTACATGCGTAAACACGAGGAGATGAGTAGGCCCAGTGTGATCATGTTGCCTCTTCATTATCGGGATGGATGAACAGATTTGAGTTGATGAATTTGATGGTGGTGGCGGTGGTAATTTTTGTGATTTGGACGGAACATTGCTTTGTCAAATCATAGAGGAAGAATCAAAATGATTCACGACTATTGGAAATCCTAAGAGCCATTTGGTATGGATGAGGGGCTTCGGGCTTCGGGCAGGGAGAATATTAGGAATATATAAGTAGTAGTTTTCTTCCTTTATATTTCACGATCAATAAACTTCACATTTATTACAAGAAGAAAATATTGGGTCGATAGTACCATCATGTTGTCGCAGATTAGTCAAAAATCTAAAAAATCCATCATGTCTGGCAATGGATTTAGGGATAACATATCTTTGGGCTACCGTTTGTTTGAAGTCGATCCATTATTCAACAGCAGTTATTAAGTTAACTGCAGCCCAAAAGTTAAACTACTACTCTGTCAATGAAACTAATGGCGTGTTATTTCTTTTTTTTTTTTTTTAAAAAAAAATTTCCTTCAAAACATATAGAAGTAAGTAGCATTTGAATACGCACTACTAACAGCTTAATTCTTTTAAATCAATTTGGCTCCTTGACATATCATGCGATTAAAATTAGAGGGTTGGTCGAGATTGGTGTGGAATTAGATCAATCAGCAAACAACGACTTTATTACCAAAATAATCAACAAAACGAATGATATTTTGCTGACCAAACTATTTGATTAAGCAAACTTGCACCAAACTCAATCATATTTTCACAAAAATGAACGTTTTCACAAGTCATTTAACTATGTAATATGTATGCAAGATGAGTTTGGCACTAGGGGCGGTGCCGCAGTCAAATTCGAGCAGTACACTATTCAAGTCTACTCGTACTCAGCTTGAGTTAAAAAAAAAAAAACTTAAAAGCTCGAGTTTGAATTTGATTTTTTTTTTTTTTTTTGCCTTACTCGAACTCAAGTTCGCAGTCATGCAAATTAAGTCCAATCGAGTTTAATTCAAGCTTAATCGAGATTGGTCGATCCTAATCAAGCTTTAAACACATATAAATTTATATCTTGTATTATTTCAAACAAAGAACAAAATAGACATTTCACACTAATATATATATATATATATATATATATATATATATGTGTGTGTGCGTGTGTGTATTGCGTGGATCTTTATTGAATTCAATTAAACTCAATCACCTTTCAAACTTTACATATTAGGCTCGACCTTATCGAGCTCAAACTTGTGTTGACCTTGAGTTCAAACTCGATCAACAAGAGTAAGTAATTCACAAGTTGCTTAATTAATTCGGCTCATTTCCGTTCCTAGTTCAATATTTGATATAACAGTAAATCGTAGGTATCAGCATTCGTCTCGCCACCTTTTGGTCTTTATTAGATTAGATTTACCAAAGGACAGATTATATGGATGGACTATATATGGCAAAAATTTTTTTTTTTTTTTTCTGTTTTCTGCGAGAAATCCTATTAATAGTGTATTTTCTTAGGTTCAGAATTTACCCAGGCTAAATTGTTCTTTCAAACACGCAAGTGTTGAATTAGTGCTCGAAAGTATGCTGAAGGCCCATTTCTCTGTAATTAATTTTTTAGGGCACTCGAAATAAATAATTTTTTTTTTGGGTTTGATTAATTGAGGAGTGGTGGTGGCATCACGGAGCCTGGGAAAAATGTTTGGAAAATGCCAAATCACCTCGAGACATTGAGGATGACATAACAGCTTTTAAGGAAAAATATGGAAGCAAAAACATGGGTAGATCCAGTCTTGTAGATCATGCTGTCCAATTTTTAAGTTGGTTGGTGAAATGGTGCGGCAAAATTTAAATTACATGAATGACATAGATAGATCGAGTCTACCCAGCCCAAGTGTTTGTCATTCCTTGTCGAAGTGGGAAGCTGAAAAAATGTGATGGAAAAATTTTTAGTGGCACCTTGTAGCCCTCATGGATGTCAGCATGATATGATAGTTAAGCGACACCAATACACACGAAGTTTCTTTGCTTCCTTGTTATTTTCTTTGCGTATTTTAAGCATTCTTTCCTGTTACTTGTTTTGAGGGCGTCCAACAACGTCGTGCAAAATACCAGTCTAATTCTCATACTGGCTGCTCAAACTCCAAGTTACACGAGCATTCTCTTCCGGTTCTTTTTCTTTACTTCAAGAAAATCTCACTCATCTCCTCCCGTTAAAAAAAAGGTTACAAAAGGTCAAACACTTGTTAATGATTGATTGATAGTAATATTTGTCAGGTTAAATAGTAGTATGAGCTTTCAAATTTTACTCGTGGAGGGGTTGTCACACTTAGGGCTGAAGCTGAACCAAATAGTTCGGCTCGAACTCACGAGCTACTTGGTCAGCAGCTCGAGCTCAGTTGATCAAGCTCGATCTCGAGGTCGAACTGCTCGTTAGAGCTATCGAATCCAGCTCGATTTTGAAAATTTTTTATTATTGTGAAATGTCAATAATATCCTTCATTTAAAAATATATATAAAATATTAATTTTTACTACTTGAGTTTGATTAGACTTGATTCAGCTCGAATAAGCTCGATTGAGTTTGATTTGAATTAATTACATTTAATTAAACTCGAGCTCGGGTTCCATATATTGATGTCGAACTCGAGCTCGAATTTTAAAAGATTGACAAGCTCGAACTCGAACTTAGTTAGCTCGACTCGACTCGACAACAGCCCTAGTCACACCGCGTTAAGGATGGAGTGTTTTCAAGTCATTCATTTGTATAACACCTTCACTTTCTTTCTTTCTTCTTCTTCTTCTTCTTCTTCTTCTTTTCCTGTTATCACACGATTGTCCTTTTGATGATAAGTTTAACTCCAGTGAAATTAAAACAGTAGAATTGACTTGGATCAATGACGTAAATATATATTAGGAGGCGACGAGAATGGAAATTTATATGTATGGAATATATAAGCTGAAGAGCGTCGTAGCTGAACGGGTCCCAACCCAAGTTACGTAAACAGTGAAGCGAAACCGCTTGACGATGAAGCAACTATGACGACATTTTACTGGTGAGATGGAGACGATAATCATTGAGGACGAAGATACACCACACGATCGATTTCCCTCCCCTTCTCTCTTCTTTCTTTCTTCTCCATCTCTCCATGTCTGACTGGTAGTTCTCCTGTATCCTTTTGTCCCTTGTTCTTACCATCAAAAGTTTTGGTCCGTTTGTTATTTGGTCTCTGTCAAAATGCATTGTGTGAGAAGCCGAGAGTTGGTGGTTTAGAGCCTATTATCTCCAAATATGGTGTTTCTAAACAGTAAAGGATCCCTCTCCCCCGCAACCAACCCAAAAAAGGAAAAAAAAAAAACGATGCTATTTTTAATGGCAATTTGCAGCCATTGATTGTTAATAGATTACTTTTTTCAAACTTAATTATTAGGATAAATTGGTCCCAATATATTCTAGAAAAACTTACTTACAATCAATACATGGTTTATCCACAAAATCCACAATGTAAAACGAAATAGGTATACAATAAGTACGTACTATATGAAAATTAATGCTTTACTAATTAGTAAAGTATAAGGGATAGAGCATAAGTTATTAGATATATACTTCAAAAGCTTCTACAATATTAAGGATTAACTTTTCATTATACAAAGTTATTCCTACATTAATCAAATCAAAGTCAAAACAAGAACGTATATTCCTTAACTTCTCTAACTAATTTAGCAAATTTTAAAGATGGACACAATTAGCGTAGATATTGAAATTCAAATTTTGATAAATTAGATCATTTGAGCTTGAAAGTTGAATTTAACTAGGCTCGGTATGAGTTACACAATTAATCTAAATGCAGTAGGAGTAGGAGAAGGAAAGGGTTCGGATTTCACTCCAATCCAAACAGGAGCAGCTCTTGGAATCTCCAATTATATATGAATCTAAACGTAACCTTTGCCTCTACTAATTAATACTACCACATCTTTTGCCCCCACTATTTGTTTTCTTCGACAAGCAAGTCTCAGTCTGTTCTGACTTCTGATGGCTGCTGTAGCGGTTGAAGGAATGGTTTCTCGCGCCCTGAATGTCGGTGGCCGAATCGCCCTTTACGCTTCCGGAGGAATTCTCTGCATTGGTGCTTGCAAAGCTTACAACTACATGCACTCAAACAAGACTGCTGCTAACAGCAAGAAGCATCCATCGAAGAAACAAAAATCATGGTGGCTCTTCAAACACCGCTAGGACTCATCCATCATCTGTTGTCCATGTATAATATATTGCTCATGCATCTTTACTTCAAGAATTTAACAGCCAAGCTGGGGTTTCTTCAGGAAGAGAAATTAATGTAATGCAAATATTTTTTGTGAGATACCACGGATTACTGAATTGTCGTTTCTTTTATAGTACTGTGTTTTATATGCATGTATGTGTGTGTGTATATATATTATTGACAGTCTGTGTACCCTGCATGATTTTTTGTTTTCGAGCCTTGTTGTTACGTGGTTTATGCTGTAACCTCTTCTGAATCTGTGAAAATTGATGATATTATTTTATTCGATGAAGTTGCAATCCTCGACACTGTTTTACATGATGCCCTAGCTCTCAGCAAATTGCTCGTGCGTCGTTAATTCTCATAAGTAAGTAAAGAAGTAAATAGTAATAGTTACAAAAAATTGCAAATTTTGCATCTCATCAACTCAGCAAAGACATTAAATGGAAGAAATTCTTCAAGTGTGGATAGGATAGAAGTCCACAGATTTATTCGAGGCAGTTGCCTTCATTGTATAGCTTTGAATTTTGATACATGAATGAAATGTTGACGTTTCCAGAAAAGAGAAAAGAAAAAGAAAAGGATCGAGTCCATCCTGGTGTGTGGTGGCTGACCTCTTTGATGCTAATGGAGCGTTAAATTTGCAGATTCTGTCCTTTTTCCTTCCAGAAGAAATTTCTATTTTAATCCTGCATTCACAACTCTAGTCCCCCACTCTGGGTCCTCTTCCTCCAGGAAAACTCAAATTCTGATTAGGTGGATTCCCCCCATCTATTGGCTGGTTCAAGCTCAACTCTTATGGCTCTGCTCTTAGTAATACTAGCACAGCAGGCTCCGGGGGTGTCATTCGTCATTCTTCTGGCTGTTGGATTAAGGGATATAGCAGGAAGTTAGGCATTGCATCCAAGTATCTAACATCTTAGCTGAGTTTTGGGGCG